AGACATGGTCAGGTCTCACAGAACCTGGACGCGGGGGTAGCCTTTCGGAGTTGTAAACAACCGATAAAATAACGCGACGGAACCGGGTGGCAGTGCGTCCGCCTCGGACAAACCGCTGATCGCCTCGCCTGTAATCCTCCAGGCGACAGTCAGTGTGAGACAATGATGTGAAGATGTGAAGAGACAGAGATGTGAAGAGACAAGGATGTGAAGTTCCACTCCGGGTAAAAGATCTACCCCGGTGAACAAGATGGCCGCGGCCATATGGTCGGGGACAGGAGCGGCATGCGGTGCCAATGGATGCGGTTTGAGGCGGTGGTTGGGATGAACGCGGATGATGATCGCAGATGACCACAGATGATGATCGCAGATGATGATTGCAGATGATGCTCAAACGCAGGGTGATGAGCATCAGTAGCACCGCTGACCGTTCGCGAGGGTGAAAACTCCAAAGCGTTATCCGCATTGTCGTCCTCGTCGCCGTCTTGGTCGCGTCCTTGTCGGGATCGCCCCCGGGGGAACGGGGAAGGGGAGAGGGAAGAGGGGGGGGGGGGTTAAATGGGGAAGGGCTGATGTGGTGTGTCAGGCTGGTGTCCGGATGGTCTTGGCTATCTCGAACCAGAGAAAGCACCAGGTTGTCAGTTGTCTGTCGGGGTACCGAACTTAATTGCTCCAATAGTTAGCCTCAACCCTGAAGAGGCTTGGCTCTCTAACCTCTCCCAAGGCTAAAGCTATATACTCGTTGCGTTAACTTTTCGAATCAGTCTATTGTCATGAATATGCAGAGCCTTTGATGTGTTAGCTGCCATCCAAAATCGCAAAACCTTAATCCACGTTTTGGGAAAGTTGCCCGTTAGTCAAAATGAGCATGGCCGTGAAACTGGACCATTAAGGGCTGTAGCAGGCCTCCAACAGTATCTGGGCTCCAACTCATTTGCACGTAACGCTAATGCGCCGTGACATTATATGAATCACATTATTACTTGCATATTATATATATATATAAGGCTTATGATAAATTATAAACCTTATAAAAGATTACCAATCGCATTTCTGTAGGTTTTAAGGCTTCTTGAAGTTCACTGCTTAAGACTGCACTAGATTTACGTGGCATTTAACGAACGTCATCGACAAAGAAAACGCGAAACCCGTCAATGTTCTGCCGATCTTTGATGACTCGTTGACCGTGTACAATGAAAAGAATTCAAAGCGTTCGTGCACATCGGACTTCGCAGCTACAGATCTCACCCAAGCCACTCCCTCCAGCCCTCCAGACAAGTGACGCACCGTCCGAGGCCCACTTTCTGGATGGCCTGTTCCGCTGAAACGGCGCCGGGGGGCCGGGTTTGAATCGCGCGCAGCAAGCAGGGGCTTAGTCATGCTCGACCAGGACAGCGACCGCGCTGGGCTTGCCGTGCTGGTCGGTGGTGGGCGCGGCGAGCTTCCCGACGTTCGCCCGCTGGCGGAGTGCGCTGTAAGTGCGCGTGAGACGCACCGTCTCCATGCACACGTGCGTGGCCAGTCACGTGCTCGAGTGCGTACTGGTGAGGACGTGTGACCAGGCCAGATGACGCACTGCCATCAGATGACGATCAGATGACGCACTGCCCGGTCAACATCGAACACAGACTCATGTCCGGTGTCGTGGATATGAGTTTAATCGTGGCTCGCCTGAGCGCTTACTGTCTGGGAGAGACTGTGAGGCATATGAATAGTGGTGCCCATCAACCTAGTGCAGCTTTGCGTAGAGCATACCAAAGGAAACTTGTGTTGCTCAATTTTGATTTCGCATCAGACAAGGCCACTTCGGTTTCATCGGGCGGGATGTCGTTTCGAGTTTGATGTAATGCATCGACTACATTTGCGCAGGCAACTGACTACAGCGACGCAAAATGAGGAATCATATATGGTGAAGCATAGTGTGCTTGCGTGTTTTGGAATCAAGAGGTCTGACAGATCCGTGAGCACAACTTACCTCCAGCAGCACGAATGTGAAGATCGCATGCTTTAGACCTCGCCCTGATAAGCCGTTTTCGTAATGTGGTGTGATGGGGATCGGTGCTCTCCGCCCCGACGTTTCCGTTAGCCGTTTTTGTAATGTGGAGTGATGAGGGATCGATGCTCTCCGCCCCGACGTTTCCATTGGCCGTCTTCGTAATGTGGAGTGATGAGGGATCGATGCTCTCCGCCCCGACGTTTCCGAACTACTAAAGACAGTGCCTAGTGAAAAAGACTAGTGGATCTATCTCAACAAGATGTTGCGATTGGTGCTGGTTTTATTTTTTCGGTTAATAACTGACCCTATTAAGTGGGGCGAAACGCTACATTTTCTAGAAATTCGCACTTTTCAGCTATACATCATACCGATAAGACCATGTCATGCGACGACACAAAACCTGAACAGCCGTGTTCCCCTTGTTCAATTCTGAGTACGATGGTTCATATTTTTGTGTATTTTGGGCATATATCTATGAAATATGGCTCCGTTAACATAGCAATGTCGGCCCGCCGCGCGCGTTCTGTAGCATTGTCTGTCGCCGCCCGCCCTCGCCGGCCATAGATCGCTGCGCAGTGTTCCTCAAAAACCGCCGCTGCTCCGAGATCGGAGAGGCAACACGTTCTTTGTGTCAAAACATGGGTTATGGATGCTTCGCAGGCTACTGGAAACTTGGACGCAATTGAGCATCATGCCGCAGAGGTGTCCTCAAAAACCTTAGGGGGTTGTGGCATCGCCAACCCCCCCCCCCCCCCCTTCAAGGCGAGGGTTGGATGAGCGTTTTTTCTCATTGCATCCATATTGAGATGTCAAAGCTTCGTTGTGCCACTCTACAGCAAGAACACACATGGATCAGCTAAGGCGGCACCTCCAGTCTGCATTATGGGTACAGTTTAGCGTGCTGAGCCGAGCCAAGCCGAGCCGAGCCGAGTCAACCAGCCATCAGCAGAACAGTACTGTCCTTTCAAAACGCCTGTAGGAAAAACGATTAGAGGGGCTCGCAGACATTCACGAAACGTTCCAGACGAGCTCCTGGGAGTCGAGTTTCTGTACTCGCAAACCGGCCAGGCGATGCAGAAGCTGTCCCTTGACCTCGAAGATGAGGAGGAAGAAGCCGCCCTCGACGAGGAGTCGGCCACTGACGTCGCAGATGGAGGGGAATTCGTCGACCCGACGATAGCTGTGCATGCACGTAGGTCAATGCGTACCTAGAGGCAAACGGACACGTGCCGACGCCTCTCACCAGCAACGATGCACATGACGTGTTAGAGAATGACACGCTAAACTGACGTGGCGATGCTCGTCAGCACAGTGAGCTACCCATATCACATCTTTAAGTGCTTCGTGTAGCTAAGTCCACGTGAGGAAGCTAAAAGACACAGTGTGATGCGGTTTCATCGATCATATCTGAAGGGACCTGCTGGTGCCGTGATTTTCCTGACATACCTGTCACACGGAGAGACCTGCTGAGGCCTGTTCAGTTAAGGCCTGGCCAAAGGCTGAAACGTGGTCGCTTGCAAAAAAAATCGATATCCGATTACGTGATGATGGCCAATTCAAGTTCTTAACTCAAATATCGAATATCAGTCAAGTTGAATTGCGCATTTTCTCGTGAGTTGCATGGCGTTTAACTGTTATGCAACAAGGTAAATACCGCGCGTTAATGTTGTCATGTATACATAAACGCCAACGTCACACGTATGTGTTTATTGGCATTGTCTTTTTCAAAATCCTCGTCTCAAAGACGTTAATATAATGCGGCATGCATGCGATGTTTGTGTTCCCAAAACATGCTGTGATCCTTCCATTGTTTAAACAGGCAAATTAACTTTTTCGCGATCAAATCTATCATAAATGCACGGAAAGAATCCATATTCATATATGTATATATATATATATATATATATATATATATATATATATATACATGACCTGAGATAGGTCTTGTTACTGTTTTCTCTCCGGAGCTCTGGAGCGGGTGGCCCGGCGAACACCGCGGATCAAGGGACACACAGGCGGTGTGAATCGACAACGGGCAGAGCTAGTCGCGAAGGACTTTATGGTTTTAAGGAGGTTCCTCTCTCGCACCAGCTGCCACCCCTGGGCCCAAACCAGGGACGTGAACGCCGGAACGGCCCTCTGCCGACGCCGCACGCCAGTTACGATCCGTGCAAAGAAGTTTATGACGTTTGATCCGAGGTAGCTGATTTTCGTTTGTTTCGCACCACTTACCGCGGTTTGGTACAGGTACAGACTGGGACCTGTCGTAGATGGGCGTTTGACCCGGAACGGCGGGAGCGTGCTGTGTCCATATATGTGTCCTAAGTACGAGGTGTATGCTTCGTGTGTCATAGATACAGCACGGAGCTTTCTGTGTATCCGTGCATTATCATAGATGCAGCATGCATGTTCCTGTGCAGCTATGTATGTTTCGATGCATATTGTACCTGCTTTTTAGTGCGGAGAGGGCCGGTGATGCCGGTAGCAAACGACACCACCCGTGCCGTGCCCGCGCCGCGCGTGATCGGCGTCAACTGTGCGGTGTCGGTATTTTCCATTCCCCTCGACACAGTCGGCGAATCACTTTCACAGTAGGCTGAAGGGGGGGGGGGGGGTGCACGCCGACCTCCGTTGTTTGACCTTGTCAGTGGCCAGAAGACACCGCCTTATTGCTCGGATTATGAGCTCACGTCTGTGCCGCGGTGCAAATGAAGTTGGGTGCGCGAACGGCGCCTTCAGTGTGCGTTCGCAAAGGGCGGTTGTTCATCTTTGCATGGTTTCACACGGACAGTGCACATGTGAAGAGCGGACATATCGATGATCGGGACCAAGAGCTCGGAAGGTCAACATACTGCGCACGAGTCAGGAAGTCCAATGAACCTTTCATAACTACACCGCATAAAATCTGGTCTGAAATACGGTCTCACAACAGCTTATGCTGGTACAGTCTTGAACGCGTGAAACGAATCGGTCAAGCAAAATGGCGCGCTTTTTCGTTGTCTACCAGAAAGCTGTAGCTACTTGGTCCTTTTAAGGACGGGTACACAGAGTCTTGAAGGGATGTATAAGACACGCTTCACTTCGCGCCTCTGATACCGGCATTGACACGGACTCGGACCACCGTGGTGTCTCGAATCTTTGCAAGACGAAGCTGCGCTGTTGCTGCCTGTATTGCAGGCACGAGTCGCCTTCACACGACAGGAGGTCCCACCTGCCCAAGTGCCCTTGACACATCGCTTCTTTAAACGCTATTAAAGCTTCCGTAACAGTTAGCACATCGAGAATGACCCCATCTTTCACACACAGATAAAACCGTAGTAATAGCTTTATTCCTCAGAAAAGAACCGGGAGAATGGAAAACGTGGGTCGATACTTCAGCAACGCGCCTCTATCGAAACGATAACAGAAGTTGCTATTGCTACTGTTTCGATGAAGGCATGTTGCCCAAATATCAGCCCATCTATATCTCCATTCTCCTGGTGTTTCTCCGAGGAATAAGGCTATTACACTACCGTCTTACATACGTGAATAATGTCCTTCGCAAACGTACTTAACAACTTACGTGATCTGTCACACCGTTTAGAACGCTGGCGACACCCGCCGGGTGGAAAGAGCATGTCTCTAGCTCAACACCTGACCACTCGGTCCAGCGAACAGACCCTGTCATCTGAAGCGTCCCGCACGACGCCCTCACCGGACCGCAGCCGCGGCGGGCACCGGTCACCGGCGCCGGCCTCTGACAATGAGCGCGTACAGGGCGGACGCGCTCCGCCGGCCGGTCAGCCGTGACCCTGGTCGGACAGCCAGCGGAGCCTGCGCCGCTGCCGCCACCGACGCACGGCGGCCGGCTCGGTCGCCCGTGCTCTCTCCCTCGCTGGCGGACGTGTGCTCCGCCGGTCACGAGCTCGTAGCGATTTCCTTTTTTGTTCACCCGTCTGGCTCCTCCGTCTCGAGGGCGGCGATCCGGCGCCGGAAGAGGTGTATCACGGCCCCGATGTACTTTTCCAGTGGAAGTCCCTCTTCCAGACCCTTGATCAGCGAGGCCAGCTTGGCCTGGAGTTGCTGTCGGTTGTCGCGCAGACTCCTGACCTCCGTCAGCTGCCGCAGCTGTGCAGCCTCGCCATGTCTGTTTGCGTCGTTGATGGCCTGAGGACAACGCAGCGGTAAAAGCGTTGTTAAACGCAGCAGCCGGCGTCTCGCTGTCTGCAGTCGGTACTCGTGCGCGCGATATAAGCTCACACACACACACACACACACACACACACACACACACACACACACACACACACACACACACACACACACACACACACACACACGCACACACGCACACACGCACACGCACACGCACACGCACACGCGCACGCGCAAGGCGCACGCGCACGCACACACACACACACACGACGCTGGCACTTACAAGGTTGGTTTTCTCCACGAAGAGCCAGAAGTTGGGATGCGCCGACGAAAATTTGCTCGCCAATGCCGCCACAACGTCCTTGGCGTAGTCGCTGACGCGGCGGGGCTGGCCGTGGACACAGAGCCGCTCAGCCTCCAGTTGCCGCCACTCCTGCATGTAGCGCCTCAGCAGGTCCACCTGGGGCCTCAGCTCCGGCGCCGTCTGACGACAAACGTGTTCGGCTACAGCTGACGTGGGAAAAACGCGCACTGATGCGTGCGCGACTGCTTGACTGCACAAATTTGGCCGTCGTTGATTGATCGTCGCTGGGAGCTTTTTTACTCTTTCCGATGCCGCAAAATTAGGCGTTTTGCTCGTAGACGCCAGTTGTACCGGACGGCCGGACGGCCAGACAGGACGGGCGCCCGGAGGACTGCCGCCACCGGCGCCGCTCTCTCAGCGGGCCCGAGCAGGACGGGTGCCTGGAGGACTGTCACCACCGGCGCCGCTCTCTCAGCGGGCCCGGGGGGCCGGACAGGACGGGTGCCCGGAGGACTGCCACCACCGGCGCCGCTCTCTCAGCGGGCCCGAGGGGCCGGACAGGACGGGCGCCCGGAGGACTGCCACCACCGGCGCCGCTCTCTCAGCGGGCCCGAGGGGCCGGACAGGACGGGCGCCTGGAGGACTGCCGCCACCGGCGCCGCTCTCTCAGCGGGCCCGAGGGGCCGGGCGGGGGCGGCGGCGCTCCCGTCACCGGTGACTGGGGTCGCGAGCAGGGGGTCAAGCTATACTCCGTGGAGGCTCTCCACCAATGATAATTGTGTTCCATGCTACGTCGTCACTAAAAAAGATGAGTATGGGTGCCGGTAGTGTAGTGCTTAGCGCGCCTGCGGCAACCACTACACTTATGAGGATAAATGTATCAACGTAAATTATGCAAATAAACGTGTAAAACCTGTTTTTCCATAAGCCACGAATACCTCACTTTTTATCCTCAAATGTTTTCATGACTGGCGAATTCATTTCTCCGCACCGAGAAGATCAATGCTTCAAACATTCCCCGCATACTCAAATATACTCTACGTCAACAGACAACTGTCGAACAAGTCTAGCATACACCGCTATTAAACACATCATTCTCGTGAGCTCGCACGGGGTGGGCATCCACCGACCTCTGGCGCCTCCCGGTCCAGCAGCAGGGCCCACACGTCCTCCAGGCGGTCGGCAGGCACGAGCGGCACCGTCAGCAGCTCCCTCGCCCACTTGCCGAAGTCGGTAGCTGGCTGCTTGTACTCGGCCACGAGACCCACCCGTCGGATCTGCGAGAATGGAGAGTAATGCCACTAAGCGCCATCGTGCTGCGTTTGTCCTGCGGCCGGATGACAATACGGTCGAGAAAACGAGCTACAATGTGCATGCGGTCGGCGCCCCGAGAACGCCAATGGTGACGCAATTTTGGTCTTTAGGCGGCTGGGTAATCCCGCAGTTGCAGTCCGAAATCGCTTGTCCCTGATAATAGAAAATTACACCGCACATCGAGTGGGCTTCACGTCTGGGATGGTTGGGTATCTTCGTCGCCTCCTACAGTGCATTCGATACTTAGATAACACACACAGAGCACGACAAGAATGCAGCGAAATTCCCGAACAAACTGAACACAACCATCTCATGGAAATAGTCAGCAACACTGAATGACGTTTTCACATTGTGATGTCACAATGTGTGACGATCAATGCTTCCGCAGTGCGGCACTCAACAATAAACCTTCGTACTGCGACGAAAAATGCGCGGGACCCCACCACAAAATTTCCCCTTAAACCCAGCATGTGCCATTCCCGTTTTTAACGATACAGTGCCAGCGATACGATAACGATAACGACACATTGCAACGATACAGTCCCAGTGCCAATCACAAGACGCCACACAACTAAATAAAACAGCGCCTTCGCATCGCGCGTTTGCTTCACTCCCACATCGATCCTCCACCAGCAGGACAACGCCGTGCCTACACACCTGATCCAGCACAGCCTTGGCGTAGTGAAACCAGCCGCCACTGACGCGCGCCTGGGGCCAGATGGTCTGCGCCGCCGCCTGCAGCCCGTCCTCCCAGCCGGCGAGAAAGGTGGCCGGCGCCAGGCGCAGCCGGCGGCCGATGGCGCCCAGCACGGCGCCGTACAGGTGCCGCGACCGGTGCGACATGAGCACCCAGTAGGCGGGGAGGGCCCGCTCGGGAACGGCCAGGAACACCAGCAGCAGCTGGACGAACGGCCGCGGCACGGCGCCCAGCGACGTGTCGACCTGTATCTCGACGGCCGTGCCGCGCGCCGCCTGCCACTGCGCCATCTTGACCACAGCCTGCGCCTCCAGGCCGATGGCCGCCTGCGGCAGACGTGGCGCTCAGCAGTTCACTGGTTCAGTGGCCCTATGGTTCATTGGTTCAGTGGTCCAATGTTTCATTGGTTTCGTGGTTCAGTAATTCATTGGTTCAGTGGTTCATTGGTTCACTAGTTCACCGGTCCACCTCCGCCAGCGTTCACTGGTAAATGAGATTAGCAGCATTCGTGTAACGCTGAGGATGAGCGTTGGATGCAGCTCAAGGACGTGCATCTCAGCTGGGCGCTGCACGCGTTCCTGTGGCACCTTTCGGGGTAAATCGACCGGGAACTCAGCAGAAAATGCACATCGCAGACCGCAAATAGCACGAAACTTAATCTGTAGGTAATCTACGGCCTAATATAAAACTTCCCATACTTAGCTCTGGAACATCGTGTCTCGCGCATGTGCGTCGTTTACAGTAAGAGCAATTCCATTTTCGTGATAAGCGTCCGAAAATATAATTACATTCCTCTTGACCCAACCAACCGGAAAACTTACGCCACTAAGTATCAGCACCCAGGCGTTACGGTGCGGGACTCTGCTGTCTTTCTTTACATTGTTTGCGCACGCGATGACAGCCTCGAATTGCGGTCATGGCATTGACAAAGCACACGTAAATGATGTCAGAATGACGTCAGCTGTAAATGCCATCATTGAAAAGTAGTATTCACATTATTTCAAACTAACCAATATCATTTCGAAATCCGGAGTAAACGTGAGGACGAAACGTGCCGTAAGCGCACACGCACAGCTTAAAACCAATATTGCTAAGGTTTCTGAGGTGTGGCTTTTTAAAGATAACCTTGCTCGGTTAAGGGCATTTAACAATCATAAACCTGCAAGCAGTCTTACGAAACCAAAACACAGGCAACAGAGCAAGATGTTGTGAACGGGTGAACAAAATTTCAAATTAACATCTGAAACAGCTGTCGACTTGACATTTCAAGAAGACGGATGGACGCCGTATGACCAGGGTAGTCAGCGCACCTTCGAACGCACACCGTTACCAGATGGCATTCCAAAGCTCCATTCCTTTCAAACGCATGTTAAAGGGCTTGATATCCTGACTTTGTCGTGTACAGCTAAACATGTCCATTTTGCCTTCACTTTGTTTAAACCACGGACTTTCCCACGAAACGGACGCGATGATTACCTTTGACGATTTGTCCACATTTTCCCACGAAACGGATAATGTTTATCTTTGACGATCTGCCCACATTTTCCCACGAAACGGACAATGTTTACCATTGACGATCCGTTCACATTTTCCCACGAAACGGACATTGTTTATCTTTGACAATCTGTCCCCATTTTCCCACGAAACGGACAATGTTTACCTTTGACGATCTGTCCACATTTTCCCACGAAACGAACAATGTTTACCTTTGACGATCTGTCAACATAAGTGCCTTCCGCCCAACAAGCCGCGGGCCGAACAGCTAACTCCCAATCCTTCTCATCGTGAGGTATACAAAGCCCCACGAAAAACAACACAAAACATCAAAACGCACCTCCTCGCCGCCGACATGGGCGTAGAAGGCGACGTGCCGCCGCGTGCTGGCATCGGTCGCCTGGAGAGCGTCCACAGCCTGCGCGGGCGTCTCGGGCGGGGGCGCGACCCGCTCCCTGCGCACGCGCGCCAGCATCTGGCGGGCCGCCGACCACGGGTGCGCCTCGCCCGCGGCACCCCGCGCTATCGCTTGGAATATGTTGTGGTTCGGCGCGTCGGGGTTGGCCCGCAGGATCTGCCGCATCGCGACCGCGTTGCGGCGTACCTGGCGGAGGTGACGGAGGCGCGTGTCCAGCGTGGGCCGAAGTCAACCCGTCACGTCGCGTTCTCAGACATCACTTCTCCTGCGCGGAGGGGTCGGTTGGGAAAAAACAACGCCAAAGATTGCTTGCGATACAATGCATGTGATACAACAAAAGAAAAAAAGCTGTGTCGAAAACTGAGCATGTAGGATGAGGGGACTTCGTCACACCGAACTCCTGATCTCCTAGGCCAGATGCGGCGGTCATGAGTACAGGAAGTGGTCCAGGGTCTAGACGGTCGTAAGACAATGCGAATGGATTGAAAGTAAAAATAACAATTTCAGCGTTAGTTTGACCCATCTGCACATTCTCTTAATTGCTGTGGGGTGGGGCGGGAGTGGGACAGGAATGGCCGGAGTTTAAAAGAAACATAACCTCACGAAAGCCGGCCACTGCACCCAGCGAAACAATTGCAAATCCACTTACTCGGATCGCGCACGCGTCGACCCGATCTGTTAAGGCTTCGTGGCTTCGTCCAAAACGGTCACTTTAAACGCACGCGTCGACCCGATCTGTTAAGGCTTCGTGGCTTCGTCCAAAACGGTCACTTTAAACAGTCCAAGACGGGGGGGGGGGGGGGGGCTAAAGCTGACCTGTAGATCAAGCGGCAGCACGGGGTGAGAGTGCATCCGCCGTCGCAGCAGGTACGACCCCATCACCGTCGCCGTGGCCGGACACTGGAAGCCGTTGTGTCCCACGCTGTAGTAGCACCTGCGGAAACAGACAGAACGCAGCGCCATGGCACAACACTAAAATGAAACGCTACGTGCCCACACTCCATACTCGCAGCTAAAGAGCACATCTGTAAGCGGGCAGCTTGCAGCATTCAAATGGCGTTCCTACCAATCTGTACCTGTGATCGGCTCGGTCAACTGTGGGGCACGCAGACCGCATGGGGATCAGAACTGTCCCCCTAACGCAGGCGGGCAAGAGGCGCGAGGTCCACGCACAGTGCGGGCGTGCGAAGAGAGGCAGCCATTGGAGGTCATTACCGCGCGTTTCGCACTGATGACATCCGCAAAGGGCCGCCGGTTCGTTTTGCTGGCCAAGATTATCAAATCCCCGCCAGACCCATCTCGCCACACTCGTGCACGCCCCGGGCCGGGGTTGGTCCGGAGCTACGCCGCCCACGCGGGGGTCGTTCACGAGGCGTGTGTTTTAACGTGAGCCTGCAGCGCCACCACCGGCAGAAAAGTGCGTGTGATGTTTTCTCTCCGCTGCGCCACGATGAGCCAGAGCTGTCTGGCCGCTGCCATCTTCACGATGTCAATGCCCAGATCGAGAGAAAATTTTGGTTTTTTGGAAAATTTTGGCGTAACCAAGGGGGAGTGGGCTGCCCACCGTAACCAGCGCATAACCAGGGAGGGCTTTAAAATGGCCAAAAGGCGGGTCGTAATTTATGGACGGCCCCCAAACCCTTGAAGCGCGGTCAATGTCGCCGACTGATTAGATCGTCGCAACGGCAGTTGCCACAAGCCGCACCAGCAGTGAAATGCTCCACGCTGTACAAGCGTATTCCCAGAGTTGGCCCACCTCCAGTTCGTCGAATGGCCCATGCAAAGCTGGAGAATCAGTCATTTGGCCGCGAGAGACGCGAAAACGTCCGAGCAAAGCCGAAGTCCATAATGGGAAACCGGATCCGGCAAAAGGCGGCCAAATCTCGGATGGTTCATTCAACGGCTTACTCCGCCCGTAATCACTCGTCACTTGTTTTTAAAGAGCTAACATGGAAAGAAATGCTCCGAGATTCCATAACCCACCGCCATTTGAGCAAACGAAAGCTATCGTTAACCATACATTTACGCGTTAGAAGCGCATTCGCGTTTGCTGCATCAAAACCGTCCGACATAAGAGTAGCGCTCTGGGTTAAGCTCTGAAAGCTTCACGTGGCAAACTAAGCTGCTACAAGCCCGCTCGCAGTTACCACCAAGCGAACGACATCATGCGCATAAAAAACAACCATACGTGACATCATGCGCATAAAAAACAACCATACGTGATCTCTTTACGTAGCTACCGCGGAAAAAAACTTGTAAAACAAGCCGGTACTTACTTGAGATAGAGGCGGCCAGAGTTCCTCGGCCTGTACCTCACGAGGTACGAGTGGCCGTCCTCTGCCTGATACACACAGGTCCCGCGGCGAAAGCCCTCCTCCACCGAAAACCGGAGCTTGGCTGAAGTGGAAACAAACGGACAATGATAGACAATGAAGCACATCCGCCAGCACTCCGCATATGCTTTCACAAAACATGGCGCGGGACATCATCCGAGTTCATGTTTAGTGGCTGAAACTGAAAAAGCCAGGCGCCTCCCACTGCGATGAGCGCAATGGCCGGACGGACCGTACCGAGTTTGCGGCATGTTGGAGCTTCGCCCCCCAAATTTTGCCGTTAACCTGGGACCGCGATCGACGGTAAGGGTCAGGGCGCGCACAAAAAGCACGCTTAGTGTGAGCTTCGAACCCAGAAATCCATCCATCCAAACGGTTCGGATCAAACCTTAAGATTATGTCGGGGCGGACAAATGCAGCAAAAGAACGTTTATTAGCGCTTCCCACCATCCAGCAAGAATGTTCGCAAAAAGTCGCCCCCTGCCGTACAGCTTAACATGCTCTCATTATGGAGTGTTAAAGGCGGTGTTCCACCTTTATATGGTGTTTTGAACTGCAATAGCGATACCAAAGATCATTCGGTGCAGTTCGCCGCCCTGCCTTTTCGTCGCCTAAAACCGTATATTTCCTTGTCTACACGCCCGCGAAGATGGGCAGACTATTTCGGAGGGAGTATTTCATGGTAAGCCAGGCATCCATGACACCATAATGACGTCATTCAAATCGTGCATTCCGTTGGCTGTGCGGCGATCAAGGGCACGAAAAATATAACTGTCGAGTCACTGATATACGGCGTTCGTGAGCACATCTTCCTGAGAGACGGGTGTGAATTAGCCCTCAATCAATGTTGTACAAGGTACGATGACGTAATCAAACAATGACGTGTGAGGGACATACTAACCAAACAGAGACACTGTGCTCCCTAGAGTAGCCTTTTCCACTCA